CAACAGCACTGACACATGTTCAGACCTTCATTTTACTATTCATATACTCCATCCTTGGCGCCGAAAGTATAATCTTGTTTATTCCGATGACATTATACTACATATCGTTTTGTGTCATGGTTGTGTCAACATTTCAGATGTTACATCGAAGACGTGAATTCAGTGATTTCCGAGTCTGGTCGCAGCTTTTCCTTAGTTATAGTGGTGGAAACGTGAACCCAGAGGAAGCAGAATATCAATATTGCAGCAAAAAATTACGACCATATGGCCATTTCTTTCTTGCTCTGTTAATTAACCTAATTGTCTATCCACACATAGCTCCTCAGTGGACACCACAATCTGAACTCACAATACTTGCATTTTTCTTAACAATCCTCACTCTTTATACTTTCATGGATGATAAACGTACTCCAGATTTTCTGGCTTTATTCTCGTTTGCCGTACACGTTCTTGCCAAGTATCCGTACGAGACAGATGCCGTAGTAAGGCAGGGCTGGAGGTTTCTGGATATCCGTGTTCCTACGTTTGCCTCATATGTTGTTGGTAATGGCATAGAGTTCTGCCTCAATTTTCGTGCCATTTTCTACCTTCTCATTCCAGCTGTATTTGCTAAGATTGCAGCACGAGACAATTGGCGTGGAACATACAAGACTCTAATACCACACTGCGTTACATTATCATGGTGGCAAATGGCTGTGATATCCTCTCAAGGCGCAACATGGTATGGTCTGATTCGGAGTACTCTGGCATTAGTTGGACTTGTCTTGTTCTTGCCTTTGGCTGGCCTTGCAACCATTTTGCTTCCTGTTGCTGCTGTAGGAAGGTACCTGGCAGATTCGGCTGTACTTGTTCGTGTGACTGCCACAGTAGTCCTGGCATCACTGCCTCTTGCACTCTCATGGTATCTTGGCCGCTGTAGAGCACACGGCACAGCAGGAGGATTCATCGACAGACTTATCACAAGGATCCAGGTAATGTAATTCTGATAGGGTCTTCTTGATGAGTTGATTGCTATTCAGCTGATCAAGAAAATTCTTACTTCCACAGAACCTTAAAATTCATCACAGTGTTCACAAAAACCCACTGTCTTTCTTTTCTCATCTTTCTCCTTTTCTTTAATTTCTCTCATTTCCTTTTCAACCTTTCTTTATTTATTTATTTGTGTTAAACTAGAAAATTATAAGTAGTACTTAGAAAACAATTTTTTTTTAAAGTGTAACAAAGCAACATATAAAACTTAAAATCATTCCTTATCTTTAATTGATTACAAAAGCTGTTTTGTTGCATTGTACAGAAGTACATGTGCACAGCAGGCCATAATAGATGAGTGAAGTCTCTTGTTTCAGTGAATTGTTTTCACAAAGCAGATGTTTTCAATATCATACAGAGAAAAATAATTTCTTACTCTGTACATTGTGCTAAACTTTGCAACAATAGAACTATATCTGGAAAAAATAAATTTAACAGCACTCGTAGTATATTTCTAATCTAATTCTGACAGACATGTTACAATGATGCTTTTGACACCGTTCATAACCAGATATTTGTCATATGTTAGTAAACTATTCAAACTGATGAAGAACAGCATAAATTATACTGAATTATGTCTTTTTTAATCATAAACATGCTAAAAGTATATAAAATGAAGCTGGGTTTACTTATAATAAAATAGCATAATATGAAAGAGTAAATACAAATTTATTCAATATGTAATATCTTATTTCCAACATTACTTAATCTCTGTTGGTGTGATGGGACACACTCCATTCATATTCCCCAACATAATCATAATGAAATACTTTTCTCTACGATAGAACTGAACTGGAATGACATAAAACAAACATACTTTTTCTGTTTGTGTGTCCAGATCATGCTTGGTGTAATAGGTGCTGTATCATTGCTACTGCCAGCATTGTCAGATCTGGTTGGACAGACGGACGCTATTGTCGACTATTCGGAAGGTAGTGGAGGGACGCTGAGCTGGGAGCAGTACCAGAATCACTGTCATCAGCCAGCGTGGGAACAGTCATCTGTTGCCTTGGTACAGTTACACTGCTCTCACCTCGCTGGCTCTCCAGTTGGCTGGGATGGATACGTCACAGATGTCAAGATACAGAGCATCAGTAATACCTTGGAAGCAGTTTTTTCTAAGTGAGTAGTGCAGTTTTTATGCAGTCTAAGGTGCATGTGGTACTGGGCAGTTTGACAACTGGGATTACAGAATTGATTTATACTCAGGACACAAGTATGTCTACCTTTTGGGGGGCATATTTTTGAGTGTATGTGATGCCTTGTAATGGACTGATTTGCTGGCCAAGGAATACATCTGCAGGAAGAACTATTTCAGAATTAATTAATTTTGAATAAGAACAGTTGTAACAATTATACACTGTATTTTATGGAGTGTGTTGCATTGAGCATGTCTGTTAAGGGAAAAATGGGGGAAAGCAGTTTGTTTTCTCAAGCAGCGAACACATTATTTTTAAACCACATTTAAACTTTTTCCAAATAGGTGAAATAAATATCACTGTCTTCATATAGAAGAGATGTTAACTACATTAGAGCCCAGATTGGGGAAAATTCAAATGGAAAATTTTGATGTTGTTGGATGTAACGAGATAATCTATTAATGCAAATGCTCAGTCAGTATAGTGACTAGCTACGAGCTGGACGACCGGGGTTCGATCCCCGACTGGGGCAGAGGATTTTTCCTCTAGCCTCTGCGTCCAGACCGGCTCTGGGGCCCACCCAGCCTCCTCTACAATGGGTACCGGGGGTAAAGCCGACCGGGGCGTGATGCTGACCACTCACCCCCATCTAGTGCCGGGGTCAAGGAAGAGAGGAGCTATACCTCCACTCACCCCAAGCGCCTACATGGCGTATAGTGGGACAAACTTTACTTTATTTTTACTATTAATGCTGAATGCATCAATTTGTTATTCCAGTAGGATGCAGTAAAATTTAACCTGAATGTTCACAGGCTGCCAACACCTCTACGTGATACTTTGACCTGCTTTTATGGTGAAAGATATGATCCTGACTGTAATGCAGAAACTACACTTGAATCTGCCCTAGCAAGTTGCAAGCTACTAAAAGATTTAAAGTTAAGGCATGCCAGCTGTCATCTTGAGGCATGGAATAGGTACGAACCTCATGTCTTAAGTGCATTCGTTTGAAATTGTGTTTGAATGAACATAAAATACAAAATACATCTATGAAAAAGCCCAAAATTAAACTTCATTGTAGTGGTCAGTTTTATGTTACTTTTTCATTAGTCAGACAACTGTTGTGATATACCACAACAAAAACAAATGTGTACAGTTTGACATTTCTTTATTTTAAAAGCAACCAAGATAATGAAACTAATGAAGTGTGGTTTTTATTCTTGTCCTGTACTGTCATTGAACATATTGCTAGGTTAAACTTTGAGTAATTATGAATACATTAAATTTTCTTTAAGTCACCATGTGAATCTTGTATTATAGAAGTCATGAAAATGGAGTGTCTATAACCCAAAATGTCCATTCCCTGAAGAGTGGAATATGTGAAGTAATGAAGGCAGCAAACAGTAATAATGGTTAATCCCTGCCTGATTTTGTTTAATAAAAATAAATATTAAAACTGAGTCAAAAGATTTAAAATAAAATTCTCCTATTTACTGCACAATTTCTGTGTTTATACACTGCATCTGTTCTATATGTATACTATTCAGACTTCCATCTGGTATCTTCTCAGCCCTAAAAGTGATTTATACCACATGAACGTAAAAGGCAGCTGTCAAAGTATGCCTCTGGGTAAACAAAGATTTTAGTAGAATCATAAATTTCTTTATGCGAACTACTGTAAACTGGCCGTAAATTCATGCTACAAAAATGGCTGTTACACGATCACATGATATAGTATAACCCCTAGCATCTTGCTTAATTTCATGAACAGACAAAAATAATGGTTTTAACCTACATGTTCAGACCACTTCAATTTCCAGTTTAAAATTTTGGTATGCAAATTTGTTTGCACTTTACACATGCATACTTTCATCATCATATTCATGTGAATACTGCAGTAATTATTTATTATTATCATCATCATATTTGTTATTTGCACTGTTTCTTTCTCCCCACAGGTACAAATTTGAAGTTGGAGTAAAAATGAAATCGGGTATGTGGGGGAAAGGAGCCGAGGTGACACTTATTGCAGATGATTCATTCCGTAACTTCACCTTGGCGCTTCGCCCTGGTGATCGTGTGTGGTTCACTGGTCATCTGATGAGTGGTACTGGGAGAGACAATAGTGAGAATTTGCTTGGTGGATTGAAACCACAGGTGGATCTGGAAGAAATCGGGTGTTTGGGGTGCCATAGAAGCGAACTACAGATACATAAGAAAGACAATGCCGCAATGAAAAGTGGAAGTCCTACTTCATTAGTAGCATATGGATATGCTGGTCTGAAGTCAGTACTGAACTTCATATTCAATCCTTTAGTGATATTCAAATGAAAAAAGATTCTAAGTGTTCAGGTAAACATGAAATATTTTCATAGATTGTATGGTTTAGAGATCAGTGTTCGATGTAATAAGATGTTAGCCGTTCCCTAACAAATTATGACTGATTTGACTTTGCTTAAGTCTACGTATATTCTATTACAATAACTTGTATATGTGCTTTATGTTCTGTGTCTAACCCTTTCATTGTAACAGTTCTGATGAATATAGAAAAGCTCATTATGCATTATTAATGGGACAGTTCTACCATGCAGGAAATTACATTATGTTACAAACAGAACTATGCTGCTAAATATATACAATGTTTATTTCTGTTTCAAGATATTTCACAGAGTAAAGAAAGGAATGTAAAAAATTAATGTCTTAAATTGACATTGATTTTAAAGATAGAAAATAAACACATTCCTATATCTATGCAGGGTTGGAATGTCACAATAATATCCAAATACTGGCATGTAATTGAATATTTATAGATAGCCAATTCACATACTTTTTCTTTACTAATAATCAATAATAATTAACTCTCCAAGTAGTTTTCATTGCTCTTTTTTTCTCTCCAGATTGTGATCATCCATTGATATATTTTCATGTTTTGCTCTGTACTGTTCCTAGATTTGAGAATCTTTGTTGTTTGACGGGATGTCAAAGTAAGATTGATAGGCATACTCTAGTCTCTCTTTGTGTGAAAAATTGTTATTTTTCTTGTTTCCTTCATATAGAATTTTATCGCAGTTACTTTTTATAATTTTAAACTGTGAAGACAAACACAATATTTATATTTATGTTTAAAAACATTCATACTGGTTTAAACATGCAGCAAATATAACATTCTACATGAAGTTGAACGTTGACATAGAACACTGTGCATGATTGCACTATAGAAGACTTTCAAGTACTGGCTGAAATGATGATCCCACAAAGAGCCCATTTTTGCTGTTTATTATATGTGTGTGATATAACTATGACTTTGGGGGCAAACTACTTTTTGAGTAACATTAAATTTTCTGTTCAATGTGCAAGATGTTGTGGTAAAGTAGTTACAACTCCTGTTTTGTATTTGAGAGATCTCAGGTTCAAATCTTGACTTAATGGCCAACTATCCTGATGAAGGGTTTTCAAAGATATCCTTATGCACTCCAGGAAAGGAGTGTAAATTTAAAGACTAAAACAAGCTGAAGAGGTCTTCAGAGTGAATTTATTGGAAGATCGTAGCATCCAATATTAATATCAAAGAAGAATAGTACAATACCTTTCTCAATCACCTATCAGCTTAAATATTAACATAATGGGAAACACTAAAATCTATACTGATACAATCAGCCATGGATGCCTTGGGCAAGAAGAAAAAGTTAAAATATAAAAGCGCTTTACCCATATGGAATGAAAAAATAGCAACTTTAATCACAAATAAAAAGGAAGCATATTTACAATACCTGAACTCACATTTAATATGAGATAAGATTGAAAGAATATGAGAGACTGTCAGTAGTAGTTAAAAAGAAGTGTGACATGTTAAGCGCAAAGTTGGGAGACATTTGCATGGCCATCAGACAGAGGCATATAAAATTTTAAAAGAATTAAATAAAAATGAAAGAGATAATTTAAAATTAAATTTCATTACATGAAAAGTATGGTTCAAATATTATCACAGTCTGTGGACAGCAGATAATGAAGAAGAAGCCACCCAAATAGCTATTGAGACTGACAAAGTTTACCTTATAACTTTAGAATAACTTATGGAAGTAATTAAAAACATCAAAGGCAGAAAATCACTGGAGTCAGAAGACATTAATACAGGTAGGACTCGGTTTACGCCGCTTCAATTTACGCCTGCTTCACTTTTGCGCCTCTCATAAATAACGACTGGAGGGGGTGACGAGTCATCACTCTGCCCGACTTTGTAATAAAACTATAATACTAAATGATAAACTATGGCCTAAAATTTAAATAAATAAACAAAAAAGGGGATATAAAATGGGACGAGAAGAAGCAAATTACATAACCACGGACTAAGAACTACAAGTGAACTGACAAACATGCACTGGTGTCTAGAGAACAGGTTGCCGAAAGGTTAAGGAAAGTGAAGCTGACTGCAATGCCAGTTAGTACACTAACTGAAATCAATGCAATAGGCTGTTGCTCTTATTAATAAGGGATGTGAGATCTTCTGTAGCAACAACCCCAACTGGGAGCGGAGCTCAACCATTAAGAGAGGAATTGATACAGTTCTACGGCCATACTATAACTTATTATCAGAAAAGAAGAAAACCAAACACACATCTATTCTATCGTTTTTAAAGCAGTACATTTTCTTTCTTTTTCTTAAACATTATACAATTTTCAATACGTAAATTTCATGCAATAAAACATTTTGTGTTGATTACTGAAAATCTTGGAACGGAACCTAATGTATTTACATATGTTCCCATTATATTTTTGCTTCATTTTACGCCAGAAATCTCAGGAACCTAACCCCAGCGTAAACCGAGTCCTACCTGTAATGAACCAAAAAGTTTTCTTGTAAAATTATTAGATTTCCTAAAAATATGTTGGATATATGGCAACATACCAGAAGAGAAGAATAGCAGTTATAGTCCCCATATATGAAAAAGGTGATGGGAAGAACTGCATCAAATACCGTGGTATAAGTGTGTTAAATACAGGATACAAAATATATGTTTGCATTACTACATAACGTGTGATGACAATGTCTGTGGTGTTATTCCTCCAAGAACAAAATTACTTCAGAAAGCAGAGATTGTGTATTCTCCATGTCCCAAATCATTGAGAAACATGGAGAATATAAAAGTAAGGCTGTCCCGCTACATGCCATGTAGGCGCTTGGGGTGAGAGGCGGTATAGCTCCTACTCATTCTTGACCTCGGCACTACATGGGGGTGAGTGGTCAGCGTCACGCCCTGGCACGCTTTACCCGGAGAAGGACCCCAGTACCCATTGTGTAGGAGGTTGGGTGGGCCCCACAGCCGGTCTGGACGCAGAGGCTATAGGAAAAATCCCGTGCCCTCGTCAGGGATCAAACCCCAGTTGTCCAGTCCATAATCAGTCACTACATTGATCTACTCGGCTCACACACAGAGAATATACCAACATACACAATTTTTATCAATTTAAAGAAAGCATCTGATACAATAAACAGAGTAAAACTTTGGAAAATCTTGCAAAACAAAGGTATACAAAGACATTTAATAAGAACTGTTCACAGTGTGTTTATGAACACAGTAACTACAATCAAAACAATTCAGAACCAGTGAGGACTACAAAGAAATATCACAAGGGGTTAGACAAGGGTATCATATGCAAGGGCTGGAGAAATGATTTTCATCATTCCAGTGTACAAGAATGAGAGAAATACAATACACATGCTTATCAACAGACTTAATTAATAATTCCCCTATTCATTTTATAGAACAATGCTAAAAATCATTTATGAAATAGCTGTGCTTTAAAAAGCTAAAACTTCATCGCACCTGATGATTCAACATCGCCAAAACCAAACATCACCTTACAACAAAATCCTCAGAATTTATTTCCCTGACACATTTTTATATTATCCTCCCATTTCTCTAGGCCATTATGTGTGAAAGAACTCTAGAACCCACCCAATCTCCCATACAAAAAGTATTTAGAATCTTTGCCTAGAACTAGTTTGACCATTCAATCTAATGCTGCAGTTAAGAATACATGCAGCTATGCATCCACACTCCTTATATGTCTTCACAGTCTGACGCTGAAGCCAAAGCTTTTGTCTTTCATAACATGGAGTTCTGCTTTTTACTATTTTTAACAAGATGTACTGGAAAGAAATAAAATGCATACTTCCTTGATGTGCTTCAATTCTTTTAGTGACACTATCATAAAACAGTGTTCTGAAACCTTTTTCACATACAGTATACCGTAATTTGTCACAGATGCATGACAGCACACCACAAAAAAGTGGTACAAACTATACTATATAAGTATCTACATATAAATACTTGCCCTATAAGAATACAGGCATATGAAAAAACATAACACACTGAATAAAACTACTGATGATGAACTAGTGTTGGTGTCTGCGTTACAAATTATAATTATGAAAGACAGATGATAGAATACAATTTTATTAAAATATAAGTCCTCTGTACCAAAGGACATGTCATATTGTCTTAATAAAGTATCCACTATAAATTCAAGAAAGTATATTTTATATTTAACCTGCATGTGAACTATTATATTAACAAGCCAAACTTCCCATACCTCTTTGCTGTTTCACGTGATAGTTGCGCCTGCTTCGTTGAGCAAGGGGGAATGGTACATGGCAAAATTGTAAATAATTGACCTCTCATTTCTTCATAATGGAAACAAGATCCTAACAGCCATGTCAGAAATCACAAGGTATTCATTCACTTAGCCGAAATATGTCAAATTAGAGTTCACAGAACGTAAATTTAAGGGTTCTGTCTGTCTTCAGATCCCTCGGTTCTTGAGATTTCAAAGGAGGAAAGTTGCAAGGACACCTACTCACGATTCTGGAACCCAGTTTAAATATTCCACGTCCCTGATTAGTTCGAAAACTTTTGCTGCTGTACGGCCAAATATTTTTCAGTGACGATTTATTTCTAGCAGCAAGTGAGCACACAGCTGGCATCATTTCAATGCACCCACTAATTATGTTTGGTACCACAACTTACCGCGTAATCCTTGAATTTTGTCCATACTGCTCGGGATATTTTCGTTCTTGCCCTACTTTTTTTTTTGTTCAGTTCATTAAAATGAACGAAAATATGACAGGAACGCCACTTTAGCAATCCACTCATCAGCAAGTAATTACGCGTACTCGCCCCCTAAAAAGTTACAAAAACACCCGTCGTAACGAAGCTCAGCTACACGAATTAATACCTTTCCACAATTTTCCGTGCACGTGACAACCATCGTACTACCACGTGAAGCTAGAAAGAGGTGTGTTCATAACCCAGGTCCTAGCACAAAACCGAAGTAGTTGAAGGGCCGCGATTTGAAGTCAACAACTTTTACGTCATCCAAAACATTCTTCTAAAGATCAGGCAAAGATGGCTTCGCCATGAACAAGGCAGTGGTCAAACATTATTTCTCGATTCACTTTCGCTACTAAGCTTCTCAGTTTATCTGTCACTGATGATGCCCCTTCTGCGCAGGCACTGATATAGTCCTTTCATTGCAGTCCATTTGCGCGAAGATATTCCGTACTAAAACGAAGTATCTCACCGCCGGCTGCTCACTCTGCAAGTTCCTCGCAGAAAAATAAATTATTTGTGATTATACCTTCATCGATGTATCGAATGTTGACGATAAGTTTAGCGTCACCACTGATATCAGAATATTCGTTGACCTGAATGGATTACTTATTCCTGTCTTCCTCCTCCAAATTACTTTCATTTCACTAGATATATCACTAACTCAGCGACTGCTGAGGGGTGAAGTTCATAAATTATTTTTAGTACTAGCACTGATTGGTGAAATGTACCTTGCAATGAATTTGTTCTTGTTGGAAATTGATGTATGGAATTATTTATTATTAACTGCAAATGGGTTTATACCTGGTGGTAGTGGTGCTACAATAAGACAAACAAAACAACACACAAAATAAAACAACTTATAAGATTACAAAACCATAAGGCACAAGTATTTAAACACAACAGATAACCTAAAGTAGATAACTTCAAAATTAATACCAACTAGACATAAGACAGTAACAGTAATGAATTACATACGTCATGAACTGATGCACTCACATTTCATCAGGAACTTCTGTTCACTTCACTGCACTTATGAATGGGCAATGAAAGAAAGTAAAATCACAAAATACTGGACCAGCACTGTTCAGTTTTCAAAGTAATACAAGCACAGCCGAAATATTGAAACTGTAAAAGCCAAGGTTACAGAAATAAATGATGGAAACATGTTGCAAGGGTGGGGGGGAAATGAAAATTGTATACCAAATTACAGTCCATATGGAAATATGAATGTTAGAATACCAATAGAAGGGTGGATTGACAAAAGATTTCATTTGGATAAGAACATGCCAATGAGCCTAATCCATGGAGCTGTTTAATGAACTTTAGTGAATTCCACATACGTGCAGAGAAGTGAAATGAATGGTAACCAATGATGACTGTTGTATGGATTTCATTCTTTATTACAAATAACATATTAAAGGAACAACAAGAAAGTATATGATTCATATACAGTCAACAAAATTAGCAGTCTTTAAAAAATCTATTTCTATTTAAAATTAAAGGAAAAAATCTTATCTAAAATATTTACTCAAGGTACAACTGTATGAAATATCAGGAAGTACAAGACATGTGTCTTGAAGGGCTTCACTAAATTTATGACATGGGTGATGTCACTACACCATATGCAAACTACTTTTCCACATAACCTCAATCAAGACCAAACACTTATCACAACATAGGATGAGTTTTTGTATACCCTATCCATACAAGTGAGGGTATTATCCTCTAAATTATTATTCCACTCTTCCATATCATTATCAGTTTTGAAATACGTGGTATCCCAGATATCATTTCAGCATTAGGAACAATTGAAGTACCACCTGCAAGGCAAAAATGGATACCACATAAACAGCATCGAAATAATGGTTGGATGTTCAAGACATGGACTTCACTAGGCAGGGGGAAAAAAAGACTTCTGTGGTGTCAGTGTCTGAATATCGGGGAGACTTCTGCATTATCCATACCATAGGTTTAGTGCTTCAGGACACATGTCTTGTAAGCTTGCTTTCTTATCATATCTTCTCCTACAAACAATGTAATCATTTTCATTGGCATAACTAATCCACTTGCCTGTTTTATATAGCCTTAAATCTTTATACATTTACCAATACAGTCAAGAAAGTGGTATTTTTTTTAAAATCTGAATGGAGTTCACTAGTTGATATTACACTTAAAAACAGTATCCAAAATAATGGGACTGTTTCATATGTAACACAGAATTAATTGAAAAACAATACAAAAAATTAAGATATATGACTACTTTACTGTTCCAGTATTTATCAACATTATCAGTATTGACACACAAAACCACAATATCTTACAGCATACCAGATCACATAACGCTGTAAACACACATGCATGCATACACTTAAAAGATACCATTCTTATACATCATTATGCTTTTCATTTACATAATCTTCTGTAATGTATTACAGCGAAGGCGAAAAGGAAACGAAAAACAGACTACCACTGCGGGAGCAAATAATAAATGATAAGGAACAGAAATAAAATGTAAATGGGAAGATTCAACAAGCAAAAACATAAAAAAAATATGAAAACTGTTTGTCAGCAACAACTTAACAAAGAGATGGCAGCGCAGGCAAACAAAATGATAAAATAGAGAGCCGAAGATGTCACTACTCTCTCTCGCCACACTTTGTTAAGTGTAGAATCAAATTCAACTGAAGTGCTGCTGCACACTTACATTCACATTGTGGTAATGATAAAACACTTCTATGCCATTCCAACTTTCATCTCTTTGTTTGAATTTGTATAGTTTTCAGAGAAAAGAATAATCTATTTTGAAAGCCAACACTTCAGTGATGTACCTCAAACAGAAAAAAGTCTGCTTTATTCATGGGATATCAAAGTTCAATACCACTCCCAACAAATTATTATGATCACAGCTTTAGGTGATTTACCAAAGTCTGATTGGACTGTTGGGATAATACATATATAGTAAACTTTGGTAAGTTTACAGCAGCTTTTGCTTCCCTCTAATAGACACTGCATTTATTAACCCCAACAAACAATCGAAGCCAATAACAAATCTTCACTAAAGTAAGAAGCAAACAATATGGCAATGAATGACACTTTGTTACACAGAGAGAGAAACTTATAAAATTGTGATGATGCTCGAGTTCTTCCACTAAAACTTCTCATACCACATACCTGAAATGACTGACTTGGCACCTCAGTATACTTGCAAGAGGAAGTATACAATATCAGTAGCAAAGCCTGAATAGCACTGAATACACTGTGACTGTTACCTGCTAACTTGTTGGACTTTAATGTAGCTGATTTTATGTTGACAGAGAAATGTCACCTTCGATTCGCACAAATATGGGAAGATCTATAAATCTTACATTTCTGTTACATATGGACTTTGAATGAAGGTTTTATGAACATAAACAATGTTACACATACATGATATATCATCCAATATCTTTAGTAAAATGACCCTTAAAAATATAAGGCATTTCCGTGCATGTCTACAAACCCTCCAGCCGGTAAAAAATGTACATCTTTAAAGATTCAACTATAAGTTCTCTTAAAATGAAAACAAAAAGTGAGAAATCAGTATGTGTAAGAAAGGTACGGTAATTCTGTATCCAAGATTTATTCACACAGAACATTTTGCAAAATATAATACATGTAATGGTAAGCACAGTACTCAGTTCACTTCCTACAAGTACTGTCTTTTCAAAATTTATTTTAATCAATAGAAAATGTACCAAATCTTATCAAATACAATTTTCAAATAATAATCAAAATTAAACTGCAGCAGAACAGTCAATTCACTTACGTCTTGAACAATCAGTTACTGTTGTTTTAAAAAGGCACTTGGTAGCATCAATGACAGAAAAATTATGTGAAAAATAATGTAATAATATTTATCAAATACTAACCCACACAAAATGTCAAACAATTCTAATTTGTAGATATCTGGCTCTAAGCTACAGAAAGAATGCATGTACTCTCATCTACGAAACATACAGTAAGGAAATTAATAGGAGCGATATGACTGGACAATCGTACTCGAGTAAAATGAGATACTTACATATAAATATATTCACACCCAATTAGTTTGGTGCCTGCTTAACTGTCATGCATATTCTTTAAACATAACATGCAATGTGACAGATTTTGTCCAAATTTTCTGTGTTCATCTTGCAACATGTATAGTAGTCTCAGACATAGACCCTGTGAAACATTTTCCTACATACAAAGAAACCTGTTCTATCCACCACAATGCTCAGAAAGGTGAAGAAACTTTTGTCTCCTGTAAATTTTCCTTTCCATCCACCACAATGCTCAGAAAGGTGAAGCAACTTTTGTCTCCTGCAAATTTTCCTTTCTTTTGTAACTGTTCAGCTAATGCATGTTACAGATGGTGAAGTTGTTATCAACTGCTCTCATCTCTGCAATGGCATATACACACTTATTATTATATGTATACAAAACCTTTACTTAGCACAGCGGTGGACACCGTGCACTGACATTCTATTACTGTCACAGTTCAAATCCTGCTCTTGTCCACTCCCTGTTTAACACTGTTACCAGTTGCATAAGTCATTCCACATTTCATGTTTCAATTCACAGCTTTCACTTCCGTTAAATAGAAACATCATAGAAATGTTATGGAATGTGGAGGGCTACAACAATTTACTCAAACACTCGTCAGAGAACATATTAAAAGATAATATAATAGTATTCACGAAGACTTTAACAGAACTTAAAGGCAACAACACTAAGGAATCCACAACCTCCCTGACGTGGGCCAAAAGTAGAGACTGAGGCATATCATACTTGAGCAACTCACAGCTGCTACTCTGCCAAACAGAACACCGGGTTACACAACATGATAACCATCCAAGTAGAAATTGGTGTTGTAATCTGTTGCTATTTTCAGTCTGACTGTACCACCAAAGAGAAAAATGATGTAAGACTTGAGGTTCTCACAGCGGTGAGTATGAAGATATCCGTCTTCTGGGTTATTGCGCTGTGTAGTCGACCAGACTACACAGCGCAATAACCCAGAAGACGGATATCTTCAGAAAAATGATGATCTATGTAAAGCCATAACAATAGACAGTGATGAACCAGTCCTCAAAGCATTCAACATAAACTTCTGCAGAGACAGGCAAAATCCAGAAAACAATTCAGTGACTTCATTCTCAGAACAGGAAATGCTAACCCTAACATACCCAACAACTGAACTTCTGAAATTTATGCAATGAAAAACCTACTGTAGGATACTGATGATATGACAACAGACAAGAAGTCCTACTGGCATCTTCAAAGAAATTAGCTATAGGTTTCCAAATTTAGAGCAGAAATCATTTTCCAGAGATTATGTAGGCAACTGTAACAGCCACAGAAGCAGGAAACTACCTTAACACCATCAACGCACTAAAAGGAAGAAACAATACATAACCATTATAGTTGATACAATCAATATATAGCCATAAGATAAAGACAACCATTACTTCAGGGATGGACTGGTAAGTCTACTGCTTATGTTCAAATTATGAAACAAAATACAATGTTTCTCAGAATAAAAACACAAAGAGCATTGCAGGCACCTACTGCTTGTTCTGCAGGTTAGGTATGTGAATATTTAGAATATGTAGGTTCTTAATACTTCTTGCATTACTAGTAGATGTGTCCATAACTTGTCACCATGCAAATTTTACAGGCCAATTGAAATGCTTTATCAGTTATCGATATCAAACCAAATTGTCACCATGCAAATTTTACAGGCCAACTGAAATGCTTTATCAGTTATCAATATCAAACCAAGATATTTTCCATGCTTACCATGTTATTACATTTCGTAAGACTCGAGGTTCTCACAGCCTCTGAAACGTTGGTTAACATCTACCAGACTACACAGCGCAATAACCCAGAAGATGGAAATCTTCTTATTACATTTCATTTTCCTTAAAAATATTATGATAAAGGCTGCATATTTTTAAAATATTTACCACCATACCTGTGGCCACTATGATGGTGCTGTTGACAGCAATGTTGAAAAGTGCAAAGACTGCCAAGATCTGCAATGGCATGATGTTAATAACAAATTTTAAAAACCAGTCAATTATTGTATAACTTATGTATACTTGAATCAGCGCAGAAAACTAATACAAAATGCTAATAGGATTACATGAAACTTCAACAAACTGAAGTAAATGAAGATGTAATGTCAGTGGCTAATGCTAATTAGTGTGTAGCTAAGGTACTAAAAAAATAATTATCTCTTCTTGCACGAAATATTCCAGACTTCAAAAACACTGAAAAACTAATATTAAAAACACATTTCAGTATAAAGACAAAATAAAGTAAGATTTCAGGTTCTTGTAGTGGCTAGCATGAAGATGACTGTCTTGTTGCAACATGTAGTCTAGCAGAAATTAACCATTGATTGGGTGAGCACATCAACATAAGAAAATTTCTACCAGAATACTTAGTGCAACATCCCAAAACAAAAGTCCTCATGTACATAATGTATACCTACAATGTTCAATACTTTCTCCATCCTCCACGCAAGCTATCAACTATACCGATGCCCTTATCATCTACGTTTGGAACAGGTAATTACTCTTACTCGAGGACTGAAGTGACTGCAAGCTGAACAGCAGTGATGAGACATGTATTATACATTGGAAAATATAGTACTAATATTTTTAACTGACATAAAGAGTTGTGTGAAAAAATGCACATCAAACAAAAGAACAAAGACATTTCAAGTAATTATGCAATATATCATTCAACGATCAGCAACATTCACAAACTTTGTTCTCTTCACCACTGTTAACCTCAATCTTGTGCCTTAAATCTCTACTCACTGCTTTCAACGCTGTCAAATTGGTATCCTAAATATTCAGAAAATATGTTATTAGGTACTTAGAATTACTCAGTGAAACACAAATGCACACACGCACACACTTTCTATCTTATACAAACACCAAACTGTAACACTATTTATAACAAAGTGTACTGTATTTAATAATGTATACAAATGTACAAAGAAGTTGAATAAATCACGTATATCATAATTTCTACTATAACACTGAAAGTATTTTATATTTCCAACACAACACTGAAACCAAAAAATTATTACATTACAGAGTTTAAATGTTGTATAAATACAATAATAATCCAGTCAGTACACAAACTTTATACAACAGACTCCAACAGATGTAATTTGGATACATATTATATGGCAAAGATATATTCATATTAATATTGGTATGCATGAAAGAATGAAAGACCATTTTTTTGGTATATGCTAGTAGCTCATACAGAACTTGCAAACTTCATATTTGGCACAAAAGCTCGAGCTACACAAATGCTTAGTGGACAGCAGGTTTCAGATACGATGACAGGAAACATGCCACCTTTTTGAATAAAACAATATGGCATCCTCTACACATTACTAATATTCTGAGCAAAGAAGACTGCATTTGTGGGAATAATTTGATCAAATCTTCCGTCACCATTAACAAGTTGCATCTGGCCTACACGAAACACAATGGAAGCATTTGGTCAACATTAAGAAGAAACACTCTTATGCTATATAACATACAATAAAATACAAAACATCATCACCTTCTATCACTTAATCACACTTTCATTACAAGGTGCAATTTTAAATCTTGTGCAGTCTCATATTTCAAGGACTACTGATATGCAAAAGTTAATAATTTCCAGCATTTTGCTATTAATTTTAAGTAAATCAGAGAAAAACCACACAGTGCTACTAAAATCAAGCCTGGCAGTGCTGACTCATAAAAAAAAACGTATCTTGATATGGTTAAGAAATTTCTAATTAAAATCTCCTATGTAATCATGACAGACATGACACAATTTGTAAATGACAACAGAAGCTCAGAGAGTATAATGAAAATGCCTCAATGAGTACATAAATGTCACAAATAAAAATAAAAATGAAGTGCACTTGTTTCTTTGCCACCAAAAAACCCATTTCCACAATCAGAGATATTACAGGTATATCATATTTTGATAACCTTACAATACAAAATTCTGAGAAACAGATTTATACCACCTTTATATTCAGATATTCAATCCTCAATAAAATCTTTTGCGGGAATTTTCTTGGTGTTTTTGGTAGAACATGATTCCAATGACAACACAAGCAATTACAGCAAGTGCTCCAACTAACATCAACAAGAAAATCTTAATTCCACTTAGTGACGATGGCTTTGGATCATCCACATGATCTATAACAAGAACAAATAAATTACACCTATTAAAATATATTAAAAATTTTTGCCGTCAATCATAAATATAATAATGTTAAAACATCATTTAACGTTCCCCATCGAGTACTCGATTACAATAGGAACTTACACGACTAGTTTCGGCTATAATTTAGCCATCAGCGGGTGTTATGTAGTTTAAACTTATCACTGAATTACTGATTTTTATTGTTTTTTATGATTTATAGTCTTCATTTTCTGATGATGTTCTTGTCCATTTATAGTTTCTTCGTTCGTTGTATTATCACAAGTCACTATTAGGTTTGTATTACGTATTTTGTAGTGACGTCAATATTTTATGTAGGACCAAGAAGTAATATCGTAATCGTATAGAAGAGAACGGAGATATACTGGACTGTATTGGAGCGTGGCTGGTTACCGACTGCGGTGCTAGTGAGTGAAAGGTGGTTTGTTAAGGTTGAGGTCAAGGTACTGAAGTGCTTTTTTCTGTTGATGTTTTAACATTATTATATTTGTGATTGACGGCAAAAAATTTTAATATATTTTAATACTTATGAATCACAATATGACGCATTTACAATATCTTATAAATTACACCTAACTGCAGAATGATCAAAAAGTGATGCCACCCATTCCTGACACGTTCCATCTGTGCCCCCCCCTAAATAAAAAAAAGTTACATAAAGTGTTGAAAATGTCCACCGCTTTCAGTCAAATTTGGTTATAACAAGAACCAAGGGACCGAAAAAAAGTGCTTGTTATACCCGTTATTGTAGTCATATGTTACTTTTGCTGTTACGCACTACTTTATCACACACACCCACACAGATATATACTTACGGAAAAAAGGATAAAAACAACAATGAATAAACATTTATGTTACTTCATATTTCCTTCTGAGCTATGAAAGCAATACAAATTATCATACCTCTTGGTGATTCAAAAAATGCTGCTGATGGAGATATCTGGGAGCGATCCTCTTCCTCTTTTGGCTGTCCACAGAAATAGATAAAATTAATCATCAAATGTACCTATCAGGTTTCATTATGTTCAATCTATTACTTATAGGATAACTTAAAAAACAAAGTGCAAAAAAAAATTCCCACATTACACGAGCTTAAAAATATATAGGCATAAATATCCAGGATTACCCCAGCAGAGCTGCAACATGTGAACATATGAAACAGAGCATGTTTTTTTCTATGCAACGCATGTTTACAAGCACAAGCAGAATATTCATAACACCTGTTCTGAACCAGTAGTTTGTTTCAAAGCTTACATTTTTCTCTTGTGCCAGACCTACCTAGAACACAGCAGCATACTAGGTGGTCCATAAACAAAACCACAACCCTGTGTTTACTTTATGCACTTTACAGAAGGAACAAATAAAAAGTAATCATACTCACATCATCTGGTAAATCTAATTCAAACAGCCTGACAGACATGATATCGTGAATGTCTGAGAGATCACCTGTTGCTGCAGTTATGCCAAAATAATAACCCGTTGGCAACCGAACTCCATGGACAGACAGGCACTCCTTCCAAGCTGCCTTGTTCTCAATATCAGTCGAGACTGAAACATACAAACAAGATGTGTCTTTGAAAACTAAATTCAGAAAACAAAACTGAATGTTATAATCAAGAATCACTTTGTTACATGTTTTTATCACTTCATCAACAAAACCATCCTGTCATATGATATATCCAATAATAAAGCAACGTTAAAAAACATACAGTATAAAAACAATTCTGAATGGTTAACGCTATGCATAAAGTTAATTAATTTGCTTTTTATTAAAATAATTAAGATAGTGTAATTGCGTCATATTGTGAATATTCTAACAATTATTTATTTTAATCCGTCTTATCACAATATTTAAAATTTCTTATAATTAAGATAATAAAATATCATTGATGTTCCATATCGATTGATCGATGTTCCAAAATGTAAATCGATCAATCGATATGGAACATCAATGATATTTTATTATCTTAATTATAAGAAATTTTAAATATTGTGATAAGACGGATTAAAATAAATAATTGTTAAAATAATTCTCTAAACAAGGACAATTTAGAAATGACGATAGATTTCAGGTAATAATAACCAAAGTAACTAGCCTCTACTTGTTCCTGCATAAATAATGTTCCATATTCCTTAAAAAGTGAAAGTAACATTACTATACAGAATACTAGATCCAACTTGTTAAGGAAACAAGACATGCAAGCATGCACTTCAAAATTTGTACAAAACTATGTGCAAGTACCTGCATGACTCTGAACTGAACATTTCTACTAAATACCCTTTAAACGTACAATTGTAAACATGAATCAAATCTACTGAAAAAACATTAATTTTTAGTTCAGTAAGTACAGTAATTGACTATGGGCTAGAGAACCAGAATCCAATTCCCAGAAGAGATCAACATTTTCCTCTTAGCCTCTATGTCTAGTGGTCTACCCAGCTTCCTAGCAAAGGGTACTAGAGGCATTTCCCTGGGATGAAAACAGCCAGGGCACGTAGCTGACCACTCACTTACCTCCATCTAGTGCTGAGGTCAGGAAAGAGAAAGGTGGGGGTGCAGCAGACATGGGGGATATGAGAAATGTGTACAAAATTTTAGTTGGGAAGCCTGAAAGGAGACAATTACTCAGAAGACACAGGCATAGATAAGAGGATAACATTAAAATAGATCTTTTAGGAAACAGGTGTAGAAAGGAGCAGACAAGCTTTATATGGTTCAGAATAGGGTCCAGTGGAAGGTTCTTATGAACACCAGTTCAGTTCAATACAAGGATGAGAACTAGAAGCCACACCACCACTGTAATTTGTAACTTCTTACCATCAATAATACCGATATGGAGGCTTTGTCAACTTCTGTGGTGAAAGCTGCACCAGTGAAACTTTATATAAAATCACAAATCTGTTGTCAAAAAAAAGACTCTCAAAACATAAAAACCTTTGTGAAAGTAATACTACTGTAGAATGTAAAATAATGTGAAAAATACACTTAATTTTTGGTTTCATGATAACAGGTACACAAGTGAAATTTTGCATGAAGATTTTAATATACATACATTAAAATTCTATATGAAACATTTATGTGATAACAATTACAAGCATATTGAGTTCATAAAGCTATGAGTTTAGAGAAGGAAATTTTTTGGGGGGGGGGAATAAATAAATAAATAATAATAATCAGAATGTGTTGTATGGAAATTATGAACAGGAATAGTATCATCATTAATTTAAAGTTTTTGCTAGTCTCACCACATAAATAAAGAATTTTAAAAAAAGTAGGCATCATATATTGCTTCCAGAATTTCTTTCCCTCATCATCATTAACCTAACTGATCTTGGCTTAATCAATCTGCAATCATGTAAGAAGTAACTGATGAAATCAAACATATTACCCTTTCAAACACAAATTCTAACAAGAGCATAACTCAATTCTTATACAATTCCACTGAAACAGAAGATATAGTGCATTATTTTCATAAAGTACCATACAAAGCTGGCAAGGTATATTCAAAATATATATTCTTCATTCTGTTCTATCACATATCATGCACAATATGTATTTGAAACTGAATAAAAATCTAATAAATGCAAAGAATCTACTGCAAGTCTTAAGGCAGTCTTTACAGTACACTCTCAATTATCTGAATTATTTGGACATGGGAGTAGAGGAAACAAAATTAAAAGCTGATAATCCAAAATTATATTCGTTTAAATTTTCAAATACATTTTAACACAAATTAATCACATTTCAATGAAGATCACACTTGTACCTCAACTATGCTGGACAATGTCTATCATCTGAGGTTTGTGTAATATACCGGAAGTCCCACAATGTCTACACATTATAATATGGAATATTAACCTGTTTATCAATCTCCATATGTTATGTTTATGAGGGGAACCTAGTGTGGTCTACATTTAACGGATGGCACCACAGTATTTTTCCCATGATTCAGATATGTAAGTTGGCAGAGGTTTAGCTTATTATCCTATCTGCTATATAGTTCAAGCTACTGAAAAAGTGTTGTTAAATATACTGTAAATAAATAAAACGATCAACAAATTCAGTTTCAAGTGCAATAAAGAATAAACCACTTTAAGAATGTTTGATAATTTGTCATCTAATAAAAACCCAAATGTAATCAATGCTACATGTTACAACAAAATGTTTCCTATGTTCAGGAGAATGAATGATACTTTTTAGGAGGCATTTAATAATTATTCCTTACTGTAGACTAGCACATCTCTCAATTGAATTTGGTACCCTTTGAATACCCATCTTGTATGCTATCCATTAGATCATCAGACTGATAGAATAAAACAGAAAGAGTGAAGAGTTTGGTTCATGTTTATATATAAATAAACAGTTTCATTATTCATTATGAAAATTAAATTATGTATCCACAATATGCAAACCCAATCATCCACACAAAGATAATAAGGAGTATACTGTACTTTAAAGATGCAGAGCTAAAAAAAAAACATTATAGTGAAGACAGGAAATACCAGTGTATAAGACATTACTGAAGGATGCAACTAGACAAATTTGAAAAAAAAAGGCCTCTGAATCAGTAAGCAACAGGTCCAACAAATCTTAAAATATCTAGACTGTGGTGAAGTATACACACTGCACAAAATAATATCAGTCTAAAACATGATTTCATTATAAACTAAATAAAGTACACTCTCATTTCATACGTTATTTCAATAGTGGAAAATATTAATTATTCTCTAAATAAAGGCCAAATACACCTAAAAGTGATTAAATAAAATTATCTTTCAAATATCGGTTAATTCATTCAAAATTTATTTTCTAAATATGCAATCCAATTTGTCACTGAATCTAATCATAACTAGTCAAAAATTCATACTGATTTTTTTAAATGATAAATGTTTACATTTTGTCCACTTACCAACGAAGTAGTACAAAAGAGGGTCTGCACATATCAGAGCCTTCAAGTGATATCAATTTAGGAAAATCTGACTATTCCATTTCCACAGTAGACTTGTCGCCTACTGTCTCAGAGGCCAAACAGAAAAATAAGACAGCAGAATAACTACCAAATTTTCCTTTCTTCTGAGCTTCAATCACCATGATGTCCCTGGGATAAACATTCACTGGGCAGCAGAGAACAGCGCACAGACAGTTAAAAAAAAAAAAGACAAAGGGAAAGAAAAGACAGAGAAAACCCACATTAAATAAGAAAGTGAGAAAGGAGATAAGGGGAAGAATAAGAAACCACAAATGAGCCTTTAGTACAATGTGGTATCTGCACACAAAAATAACAGCCAGCACAGTATTACAGGACACATAAACAAACTAATAAGTATTTTTTATTTATTTAGTGTTCTGTCTGACGACAGGTCCATATGAACAGGATCCTTCCATCCTTTTCTCGGACTGGGACCTGTTCATATACGTTCTTGGCAGATGATCCAGAAGTGGTTTGCCATTGCCTTCTTCTGTGTGTGAATGGAGTAATTGTTGGGATGCCTCGGAGGAAAACTCCGTGTTGCCTAGACCACGGCCTTGCCCAACACCAGTTATAAATTCGGGCACCGCCGGGAATCGAACCCGAGACCCCCAGGATTACAAGGCCAGCGTTCTAACCGCTAGACCACCGTGGCCTAATAAGTATACTAAGCTGTAATTGGAAGTCCGGGAGCTTCTGTCGTACATACATTACTCACAGCTTTTCAAGAAAGTATTCAGCAACAAGTATCTACATGTCATTTATTATTTGTGTATTAGGATGTGATAGCTAGGTTCACTTTTTCTTACCAATGTCTATAACAGTTTTAAATTTTGTCCCTCCTTACTTGAAACTGCTGACATTTATGTTCCTACTCAAAATTTCAGAGACTTTTCTTTTATCACTGTTGGTTCCACACATAAATATTGAACCTCTGCTAAATGTGCGTCAGCTGAAAATGCCTTTTGTAAAGATACTGATAAACATTACAGTCCCAATTATCTGACCTAAATGGACTGAACGATGGCTGGACAATTGAAAATGTCAGATAATACAGAAGACTGATGAAAGACAGGGGTAATTATTAAATAAATTCAAAACTAAATTTTTGATATTTTCTGCTGCATCCCTAATTGACCATTTGGCTGCTGATGGAGCCCATTAACAATAATTAAATCAATTATTATTATTGTTGCTGTTTTCTTCACTAATGTCACTGTTACTATTGCCATTGTTACAGAAATTAAAATATCTTCCTCTGAAACCAACCACTGCCATTATTATAAAAGTACCACTCATGTGATGTGGAAAAAATTGAAATAAAGTTTTGATAGTGATGACTCTTGTAGCATAAAATGCAAATAAAGTCTATGGTGGCATCTATTGTGGGGTCTGGTGAACTCTGTGTTTGGTGGGAGTCTTAAATCAGGTGGACAGTTTTGTATTTGTGTATTTGGCATGAATCTGGTTTCAGCTGTTATGAAGATGGTTCACATTTAATTTACTTTGCAAAGACATTTTATAAAGATATCCGTCTTCTGGGTTATTGCGCTGTGTAGTCTGGTCGATGTTAACCAACGTTTCAGAGGTCATACTGCCTCCGTCATCAGGGCGATTCAGTATGACCTCTGAAACGTTGGTTAACATCTACCAGACTACACAGCGCAATAACCCAGAAGACGGATATCTTCATACTCACCGCTGTGAGAACCTCAAGTCTTACAAACTTCATAAAATTTTGTCCTTTTCCAAATAAATTTACAAAAAATTAGGCTGCAATAACACATACTACTGCTAAAAACAAAAACGGTTCATTCCCATCTATTTTAATAGGTCATACTATGCTAGTGAATGTGGTAAGAGTTAATATGATCAAACGAAACAAAGAACATTTATATTCCGGACTGATAGAGCAGACACAATAAATAGTCAAAAAATACACCCATATCTGCAAGTAAACTGGTACACAGAAGACACAAGTTGTACTAGAGTAAGTGTTTTAAAGAATAGAAAATGAAAACCACTAAGAGATGAAAATTTGGAGCCAGAACAGGTCAAGAGGGCTAATCAAAGACGCCGAAGGAAAAAAAAAGCATTTGTGTGGTTCTGGTATCCACAATGTTCTTGCAGTTACCACACTGTACTTCACTTGACACATGCAAACCTTCAATGTACGAGGAACAAACACACACTACACAATCAAGTTAAGTACAAACATCTGAAAGATCACTCTTGATATACCTACAACAGTAAAATAAAAATTCTATATACTCCAACAGACAGAACAACACCGCACAAGATAGAACTTCCTCTTACCGCACACAAATTAAATTACAAACACAACACAAAAATACAAACTTTTCAACACCAAACACTGACCAATGGTAATCATTCAAGTCAATAACAAATGCACCATCTAGCAACATCAGAGTAATTATATTATTCCTAAAAGTTTTAGGTATTAAGAGAATATAATTAATAGTTCTTCCATGTTACTTTTCTGAATGTCAGAACAATGACAAGAACCAAATTAAAATCATCATTCAAGAATGGTACCAGTGAACACTGCATTGTTATGGATGATTTCACCCTATGGTATTTCTTAATCTTTCATGTGAAACTAATTGTATCTCAAAAAAATGTTTCTCACATGTCAAGGCAAAATAACTTCATCAAAATTTAAATTCCCATGCTCCTACCACACACTACATAATATAAACCAGTGAATAAAGAAACAATCACTATAGTTGTAGATCATGTAGCTTTTGTACCAAAAAAACTAGTGCTGCTGGATGACAAAGATTTTGAAGTACTAGTATTTTAAACAAACCACAAATTCAAATTTCAGCCAGATTAATAATCCTAATCACAATTTATCATAGCTTTTCTCAGTCCCTCAAAAAAAATGATGGGACAGTACCTTAAAACAGGCCACAACTGCTTCCTCTTATGTTCTTTTCAATCATCATTCATCATCACAATCCTGTCATTACTCATTAAGTACTATGTAACACATGGGGCTGACACATCATTAAACCAAACATCAAGTACTACTTCAAATTTCGAAGGTCTCAGTTTCAAATCTTGGCCTGAAGACAACATATCCTGAGGTTCTTCATGGTATTCCTCAGTCTCTCCAAGCAAATACCAATAGATTACTTAAAATTAGGCCACAACTGCTTCCCTCCAACTAACTTTTCATTAATCATCCTATCATTTGACATCAACAGTGCTGATAAACCATAAATAAGTAAATTGATAAACTGACACATCATTAAATAAACAGGAAAGGAACAATTCCTGTTCACATGTTGTTTCCATTCATGTGCCACTTAACAAAATTACTACATAACCTCAGCAGCTGAGGCAGCATTATGAAATAACTGCATGAGACAAACCTGCCATTTTCCTACAAATGATCATACCATACAAAATAACAAACCACTTGCTTGAACAGGATTTTATGACAACAGGGGCAACAAAACTTTGCCACTTGGATATATCTTTATAGTAAACTGACAAGTTACATTAAGTAAGATTACAGGGTCTACAATTTATGAGGCTGCGGTCGTGCTTGGATTGCGTGGTCGGCCTGCACTCTGTTGATGTGGGCGGGAGTTGTGCGCGTTCTTCTGGTGGGTGACCGGCGAATCAGTTTCAGTTCCGCTAGTAACAGCGAACTACGAATATTTCTCGTCACTTATACATGTTATTACATTAACTGTTCTTACCTAAAATCACAAAAGATGTTCAAAGTGACTTCCTTGTGCTTGCAGGCAAGCTTCACATCTCATTGACATGTTTCGAAATACTCGACGAAGCTCTTCTTGGCAAACTGCCGAAATCAATTAATGTAATAACATGTATTAGTGACGAGAAATATTCGTAGTTCGCTGTTACTAGCGGAACTGAAACTGACACTCACCGGAAGAACAACTCTCGCCCACATCAACAGAGCGCCAGCCGACCACGCAATCCAAGCACGACTGCAGCCTCACAAATTGTAGACCCAGTATTTAGGTCAGCTTATTTACATAACCTTAAATAAAGAAGATGACTGTCTTCTGGGTTGTTGTACCGTGTAGTCTGGTAGAAGTTCACCGATGTTTCACAGATCCTTTTTGCTTTCTCCATCATCAGGGTGATGATTACTCATCACCCTGATGATTGAGGCAGCAAGGACAAGGATCTGTGAAACATCGGTGAACTTCTACCAGACTACACGGTACAACAACCCAGAAGACAGTCATCTTCAGACTCACCATCATGAAAACCCCAAAATTCAACCTTAAATAAAATCCAAATTCAGTAATAGGTTAGAAAAAATAGGTAGGTTAGATGAAACAACAGAAGGCTACATACCAGTCAGAACATCCCTTTCATAGCGAATGGAAATGTGTGAGTCATGGTCCAGATTACGGAACTTTGCCTCGCAACCTGCTAGCTGTGTATGCGTGCCATCTCGATCATGATCATAATGCAATGACCCATTGTTTACCATCGCTGAAACATATGGGTGTTGGTGCTGAAACAATGCATACAAATGAGAAAGCAGTTTGATTATTCACCCTCTTCCAGCCAAAAAAACTTAAAATATTCCTATTAAAAATGTTGTTCCCAGCCTTAGCACTAAGAAAGCATGGTATTTGTGTTTTCAGTCTATCCCATAGTAACAGTTGTCTTAATATGAAAATGCTACTTTCTGTGAACAAATGTGGGAACATCTTGGGTTACAATCTCTTTAAATGGAGTTCGAAGAAAACTGGTATATACAGGGAATCCAATTTGTGCTTAGACAGGCCAGACAGAAGCTTGTTTGCCCACACCAGCCTGCTGCTGGTGTGGGCAAACATCCACTTAACCACAAAACGCTCGCTGGAATATTGATAGAGCTGCTTGTTTAGCATGGTTAGTTATTCTTGAGATATACACAAATACAGTTCACAGTACTGTAAAATATAATGTACAAAAAATGAAATGTCCTAAAAGGAAACTATTCCTATATGAACATTTCTAGTGTTTTTCATAAAGCAAATGCCACAGAAAGTCTCATAACAAGTATCCTGACAGTACAGTGCAATATAAAGCAACAATTTACAATATCATAACAAAATTACAATTATACATAGCCTTTTGCCTGCAGATTACAAAGCAAGAATAAAATACTGCAGGTGGTTTGAGTAATCAGCACTGAAAGCATTTTTTGACCCGAAACTAAAATTTTATTCTGATGAGTCATAGTAGACTTTAAGTGGTTACATAAACAGCCAAAATAACAGATATTGGAATACAGAAAATTCTTATGCTGTTCATGATACACTACTGCTTGATTTGAAAGTTTGGGTTTGGCATGCAATTAGTGTGCACAGGACAATTCAGCCCCTTGTTTCTTTACAAAACGGTCAACTGCGAATGTCATATGAGATTCTGTATTGTACATAAATTTTATGCAAGATAATGTAACAGCACACTGCAAATTATTCTATGGTTGCATTAGATGAAGTCTTTGGTGAAAGACATAAACTGAGGACTGTGGCCTTTTCGATCACTCAGTTTAAATACTTGTGACCTTATTTGTGTGGCACACTAAAAGAAAATTATTTATGAACATTCTATAGAAGAACTTCAAGCAAATATTAGGTGTGAAATTTTCATTATTCCATACAACAATTTCAACATGTGTCTAGAAACATACATCCCCTATGTGAGGCACACCTACAAGCAGAGGATTACCATTTTGAGACTCTTCTACAGAATAAAGTAAGTTAAACTAAAGCGGAAAAGTGGACCAGGAACTTCCGAGGATCCAGTCACATCAGAACCCTGAAGATGGGGACAGAGTTTGTTTCCGAAACGTCAGTTTACTACGGTAACCAGTTAACGTGGCTGATTGCCCGAGAAGATTTTATTGAAATAGGTTATGTATTTAATCAGAAAATCTGCATATATGTTATTAATTACATTCACTTACATTGTGTGGACCATTATGGTTGCTGTAGGTGTCAAGAATTACTGCCAATCCTTGAAAATAATCCATATTGCCAAACACTAGACCAGGAACCATACGATCCTTTGCATACCAGATAGCAAATCCATCTCCATAAAGTTCTTTGCCTTTTCCATGCACCTTAAAGTGTACTTGTAACTGCCAATTACGAGCATTGCAAGGCTGAAGAGAGAGTACACAGATTAACAGTGATTAATTTTCTCAGGAAATATCAATGTTTTTTTAAACACATATTTATTACAATTTTATGCTGTTCATACATGATGACAAAAACGAGCATTTTGATGATAAAATAGAGCTAGAACAAGTACATCATGAAACACTTGAAGAAAGGCATCATGTGGGATCATCATGTCATATATTTGAATATGTGATAATTCTTGTCATGTCATATATTTGAATATGTGATAATTCTTGTCATGTCATTCTTGAGTCATTGCTGTGTAACTTACACAAATATCCTGTGAAGCTGTAAACCACGTGACCGTCAAAGCAGCAAACAAAATCATAGGGCAGAAAAACCAAACTTAAAAGAACGAACTTAACTTGGTATTACCTACCACGGAATTCCACAACAATCCTTGTTTGCTCTGAGAATCTGGTGTGAGCCGAACGTAATTGTTCGTCACTATCGTACTGCCCATAAAATCCCAGTATGGTATCGTCATTCCAGCACCTACAAACCAGTCCATAATTATCAACACAGGAGACAAACGAAAATAAGTTTCAAAATTCTAGTCCATACTTCAATAACCCGAAAACAGAATTTACACTTTACCTTGATATGGTTTTATTAAAGAATGTTCTCTCTTCATATAATCTTTCGTATTCCATTCTGCCTTTATCTGCATAAAAAACAACACCAACATAGACAAAAGGAGGTTTGTAACAGAATGAACTGTCATGCTGTATTCTTTTCACACAAACAATCTCGTTCAGTTTATAAGCTTTTCAGCTCCAGTTCCATTAGCGCTGATTTTTAACCACGGAACATCAACTTGTAATCGTCTGAGTTCAAAACGGAACGAGTATCGCCACACAACTGAAATCAACATTGAACATTGTTTAAGGAATCACTAATTATCATTGGTTCAGAAGAACAATTTTCATATAAATATTTGCACCCAACTTTATACATGACGTATTTTTTAAGAATACAAAATTCGGACTGATTAAGTCTTTAAATAAATGTTTATACATGAAATTGTCGTTACGCAATTTTCCGCTTTTGCGTGTAACGATGGCGCCACAATCACCAAGCTTATAGTTATAGTCAATATGTATTCGCTTTTTCAGTTATTTTCTTCTTTTATAGAATCAAATATTCGAGCTATCTCAATAACAACCTGTGAACTGGCCCCATTTTGAGTTACTTAATTCCAGTTGACATCAAAAAATTGACAAGGGAACCACGGTTCCGGAGAATCTGACGTAAATACGTCTCTGTAATTAAGTATCTTTTTAATGCTACCTTAAATTGCTCCTTCTTATTTACAAGACTTGTGAGACTTGGTGGTAGACTATTGAAAATTTTGATTCCTGCACAATATGCACTCAACAATGCCGAGTAAACAGATAACGTAACAATTAGTTTCTTAGGTAACATAACAATGCACGCAGGAGTTCATATAAAAGCTGACCATTGTTGTCGGTCCATATTTACACATTGTTGATATAGATCTTACACATCTTCATTACGCTTTTTTGCCGAATGACCCTTCCGTATAGACGTATTTACGTCAAAATAACTTTGCATTGTGACTACAGAGTATGTGTTTTGTATGAATCTCAGAATACACTTGTCTAAACATCAGTGAAATGAAGGCGCATTGTTTTTTCTCTAAGTAACATCATACATCGTCAACAAAATAGTGGGGTTACTACAAGTGTCTTTGTTAGATGACGACTGTTTTTTGGGATATTGAGGCATGTAGTCTGGTAGAAGTTTCCGTCATTAGAGTAACTTCTACGGTTACATGGCACAACATCTCAGAAGACAATCATCTTCATTCTCGCCGTGGTGAGATCCTAAGATCTCACATACTTCTTACCAGTTGCCTTGACTTAACAATGCCGGTTTTTTGTATGTGTCACGTTAAGCGAACGTACCGACGACAGTACACCCCGTTTTAGTGCCACTCTTTGTAGCAACCAAAACTGGCATTCGAACGGGTCTGGCGGTGTTTTGATTTTATTTTAATTTCGGCTGTATTTTACTTATTAGTGTATTAAAGTGCCACATAGTGCGCGAAATATTGTAGTTTGGGTAGGTTTATCCGTTCTGGAGTTGTTTCGCGCCTACTGTAGAAATGGTCGCGCTTACGTCACATCTGCTGCGCATGAACATTGTTTACATCTATGCTTATTACCACCAGGATTTTGTATTGAACCGACCTTAGCGAACTGTGTATTACCCAGCGTTTTCTTATCTTAATCCTAATACTGTACAGTCGGTGGTAGTTGGTAGTTGGTCGTGGCGTAATATATGTTCGGATAAATGTGAAAAGGGTCAGTCATTGAAATGTCACATTTTTTAATTATTGTTCACCTTAGAGTTATAATGGTTGCGTGTTGTCCGTGGTGAACAGGTATTTAGTGTAAATGAAACGACTGAAGTCATACCGGTAATTTTAGCCATGACACCTCCAAATATTGTTTTGCTTGCATGTGGTGCATATAATCCACCGACGAATATGCATCTCCGAATGTTTGGTAAGTTTTTGTATTGTTTTGAAAGGTTTATCGTTTGAACTGCGTTCATGCAAAGTAATTTATAGCTATTTGCTGTCGTACTGATTTATGATTGTGTTGATATCACTGTATAACAGTTGCTTGTATATCGATCGATTTTGTAAGACTGAGTAAGTTAAGGTTAGAATGGGTTAGGTCTAGTAACCATCTTTAGAATTATTAACTTGTGACAGGTTAAAGGGTTAGGTAATTTAGAATCGGCGGGTTAAATTTTCAGCACTTTTCATAGAATTCTTCCGTAATGGAGAGTGGGAAGTTGATGTAAACATTGCTGTCTAACGATATATTACGTTCAAGGTAAACATAGAGTAGGTGGAGCAATGCTACAGTAGAGTGACCATGTGTTTGTGGGGTGCTCTTAGCACCGTATTGTGATGGAAAAAAAAGAGGTACATCTTTTTCTTTACTTTTAGAAATTGCTCGGGACCATCTGCAGAGGCTTGGTTACCATAATGTAATAGGTGGAATTGTATCACCAGTTCATGATTCATATGGTAAGAAAGAGCTGGTGTCAGCAACACATCGCTGTGAAATGCTCCGCTTAGCACTCCAAGATTCCAGTTGGCTCCGTTTATCAGATTGGGAGTGTCATCAAGAAGGGTGGACAAGAACTAGGCTTGTACTTCAATATCATCAGGTAAATACTATGTGGATATTTGGTGGCTGTGCTGTGGCATGGCCTTTCCATTGTTCTTTGTAATAGTGTTGGTTACTGTAAGTCACTGTGAGTCGGCAAAAGTGACACATTTAAAAGGTAAATGTAATTATTAATACAAAATTCTTACAATTATTGTTTTAGAACCATTTAAATTCAATATTGAATTCCAATAATGAGTCTCCTAACAAACGGCAACGCCGTGATGATTTTTTGTGGATACCAGATGATGTCAAGTTCTGTTCTGGTGGACCAGTCCAGGTTAAACTGTTATGTGGTGCAGACTTACTGGAATCTTTTGGAATTCCTGGACTTTGGAAAGATGATGATGTGAGTACTTATCACTATTTGAAATATTTACATTTCTTTCTAGGATTTCCATCTATAAAATTATTTTAAGGTATGTTTTTTGGAATAGTGCATAATAGTGCCCATCTCTGCAAGTTACAACACTATCAGAATGAAAGGATTTTGTATAAACCAGGCATTGTGTATGTGGTTTCAGATTGACACGATCGTGGGTCAACATGGCTTGGTAGTTATCACAAGAGAAGGGAACAATCCAAATAAATTCATCTATGAGTCAGATTTGCTTACAAAATATCAGGTAACTAGATCTTCCACTGTGCTCTATTCATGTAATGTAATTCTGTTGATAATATATGGGTGTGTTTATAATAATTTGTTGTTAATTTGTTTTTTATGGCTGTTGAGGTTTTGTATTTGGAGACAAGAACATAAATTATGAATGTTCAAAAACAAAGTGCTCTGGAAAATATATGTATCTAAGAGGGATGAAGTAAGTGAGCAATGTAGGATGTTACATTCATACATGTCGCCGTTGGTGGACTAGTGGTTAGCGTGCTTGCCACTGGACCCAAAGTTCGCGGGTTCATACCCGGCCGAGGTCGACGGAATCTTAAAGGTGATAAAAATCTGTAGCACAACTTCCTTCGGAGGGGAAGTAAAGCTGGCAGTCCCATGTCGTAGATTTACGGCATGTAAGAGAACCTTGCGAGCATGAACGAGATGTTTCGTAAGCAAAATTCAGTGGCCATTTCTCACCAAAGTCTCTCCTGATTCACTGCTAGATGGCTCTGGCAGTCAAATCAGGATTGAGCAGAGTCAGTGGGCTGGTCACTCACTACTCACAAATGCACACTTCAAAGACCAAGAAACAACAACAACAACATTCATACATGATAATCTATGTAATGAGGGCCATCAACCCATATGAAATGGAAATAAGATAGAAGAAGACACCTTTCACTTCCCGGCCTATAAATCCAGCTCCTCACACCCTATTGGCATATTCATCGCCCTGATGACGGAGGCAGTATGACCTCTGAAACGTTGGTTAACATCGACCAGACTACACAGCGCAATAACCCAGAAGACGGATATCTTCATAGAAGAAGACAAAATAAGAAACTATGAGTGACATGTTGCTTGGGTAAGGGAGACAGGAAATGCAAATAGTAAAACCTATTGGAAACCAGTGACTTAGAAGAGTAAAGAGGGACATAGGAAGATAATTTGAAGATGAATTTTAGATCATGTTATGAGAGTGGAGGATGGATAGGAGGTTAGGTGTAAATATATTCAATAAGTAGTCATAGACAGTTGAAAAGGGGTGATTCTCTAGCTTCGTGGGTTGGGCAGGGAGCTAACAGCTCTGCACCATAAAAAATGGATCTCCAGACTTGGACATATTCTTTAGAACAACATTACCAGTAAAAGTTGACATGAAATTTGGAGCTTGGAATGTCAGGAGTCTCTATACATCAGGTTGTTTGAAAATAATATCAAGAGAAATAGCAAAAATGTAAGTTAGATTTAGTAGGCATACAGGATGTCAGTTGGAACAAGAGTACCACAGAACCATCAGTCAATTATACATTCTTTAATGGAAGAAGGAATGCAATTATGGACAGGCAATTTTATTTATAAGGAATTATATTAGTGCCTAGAGGGACAAGTTTATTAATAACAGGTTGTCACATACAACAGTAAGAGGCTGTTGGTATGGTAATATTTTTCTGAATGTACATGAACCAGTTTAAGATAAATATGGTGATACAAAGAATATCTTATGAGGAAGTAGGGCATTTTTCTAATCAGTTCCCTAAGCACTGCGTAAACATTTTTAGGAGATTTCGATGCAAAGGTAGGGACGGAAGGTGTTTTCAAAATGACATTTGGGAATTAGAGTTTACAGAATTTATGTCAAATGAATGGAGATAAAATGGACAATTTAAAATGTGCTAGTAGAAAATTCAGGTCCAAAAAGAGAATATTTGAAAGAAAATACTAATGAGCATAGAACAAACTTTAAGAACAAAAAAATATTTCAGACCCTTACAAGGTAGAATTGATCTTTTTGAGTTCTATTACCAGCGAGTTACCTAGTAAGTTTCTTAGTACTGAGAATATTTCTGTAACAGTAGTGTGGGGATTATAATTGAAATTTACCTAGTATGAACGTTGGCCAGGCTACTGGGCATCCTGACACGTTCAAAAGTTTGTGGAACAAGTCGCATCGCCAAAATGAAGTGTCGGATCAAAACTTATGAGCACCCCAATTTTGCTGCTGCTTATCAGACTAAACTGAACTTTTTTTTTTTTTTTGATTTTGGATAATTAAAGTGGTACTGTAGAAGTCTATGAAATAGGATGAATATTTGAAAGTAGGGTGGCCCTTAAAAATGCATGCAATGAACATTGATACATTTGTGTTCCTCAGAATAATATAAACATTGTGACTGAATGGATAATAAATGAGGTGAGCTCTACAAAAGTTCGGCGAGCCTTGAGACGTTCTGAGAGTGTCAAATATCTACTTCAAGAGTCTGTTATTGATTACATCCGCAAGCATGGATTGTACGGCACCAAGGATAAGTGAGTATCCTGTTGTATTACATGTGCTTAAGTTCAGTACTCTCTTACTGTGTAAGAATTTCTGTTGCTGCAAAATCTTGTAGCACACTTCACATTGACATATATTTCAAAGTAATATTTTATAAATTTCCAACTGAAACCCCCTATAGACAATGTTAAATGTATTTTAAGTTTTCATTATTGTATTGTATCCTAAATTTATTGCATAGAATATTTTTAAAAAAACTGTGCTGTATATTTTGCAATTTTGTTGCTTTCATAAGCTAAAAATTAAATCCTGAATTGTGGAAAGTTGTGTTACGTACTTGATTAATTTCGACTCTAAAACATTATGTTGTCTTTGGAACATAGAACACATAGTGTTTATATTTTTGTATGGAAACCAAAAAAACTTTACTGTCTGGTCATATTATAAAAATTGGAGCCACTAGCTGGCTGGTTAGTGTAGCTGTTGCTGTTTGTGAGATTTGTACGGTGTTTAAAATACAATTGTGGATATAAAATGAGTAGATTGAAACATTATCACCTAACATTTGTAGAATTAAAGGGCACTGCGTAGTGTAGTAGTCATTTTTGAATAACCATTAGGCTAAGACTACTTAAAATCAGTGATGTGTTAACTGTTCGGTATTTCAATATTCACAATATAAGATAATTAAAAGTTCCTTATCGAGTACTCGATTTACATGTGGAACATTTACGACATGTTTCGGCTATATATAGCCGTCATCAGGTGTTATATTATAAACTTTTTACTGAATTACTGATTTTTACAGATATTTAATGATGATTTTCAGTTCTCATTTTTCTTATCGTGTTCTCGTCCTTCATATTTTATCTTCATCGGTTGTTGTGTCGCCTGTCGCTAATATGATTGTATTTCGTAGTGCTGTTAATGTTGTGTTTATTGGACCAAGAAGTAATATCGTAGCAGTATTAGGAGAGACTGGAGTTGTACTGTATCGGATCGTGGCTGGTTACTGACTCAAATATCTTATAGATGTGTTAACTGTTTGGTATTTAAATATTCCCATAATTTTAACCTTTTGTTAGGACGCAACGAGTTAAATATTGCCAAAGTCACAGAATGTGAGTGTGCTACCATATTTCTGCATTAGCACAGTTTCCACTTGAAAAGAGTAGCAGAAATGACCTCAGTGTTAGTGTTGAAATTAATAATAATAGAAGTGAAAGCCTAATGGTACGTTAAACTGATTATGTTGTCTTTCTTTTCAATGCTTTCATTATTATTGATGGATTTTCTTCAAATGGATTAAAACAGTAAGTACTTGTATCCAGACTGTCAGTCTCAAACATGTTTCCTTACGCCTTCTCCAAGTGATGTAAATATGGATTCCCCAAGTCCTGTTTATAATTATGGGAAGTATGATTATTCTGAATCAGTAACTGTTGAACAGATGACGACATGCACTAGGTTTGGAGGAGCTCCGTTGTCGAATGGTCCGTCAGCATGTATTCATGTCGAAAACATTGAACAGGAAAGAAACGAGACGGAGTCTCGATATGCAGAAAAAACTGGTAATGAAGAAAATTCTAGGAGGTCGGCAATAACTATGGGTTACCCAGGTCAGGCAGTTCAGATAATAGCAACACAGAAAGGAAATAACATTGTGCGTGCTGAGAAGGTGAGCATGGACACAAATGATACAACAGGAACAAAAATTACAGAGGAACCTGTGGCAAGTGTAAAAATTCATATTACCAAAGATGGAATCAAGGTTATTAGTGATAAAGAAACAACTGTGTAGTTCATATTACTTTATGAACCAGCATCTGAAGAAATGTTTAAAGTTTAAATGGTGGTCTGTATTCACTGTAGTGTCTTCTGTCGCACTGTGTTGAACTGGTAATGTCACTCATGACTCTTTATGCTCCCCGCCCCCCCTCAATTTAGCAGCAATATTGGCCATGGTCAATGCTTGGATGGTTGACCATCTGAGAGAACACCACATGTCAGTGCCAGCAACAGTAATTATAGTTGTAATCATTTAAAATTTACAGTGTGCCAGAACTACTTCTTATAAAAGACTCTCGGGTTACAAGCCGCATCATGTGGCTGAGTGGTGAATAAACTTCAGTCACAGCGAAAGCTTCACTTTATATAACTTCATCTTATATTTCTGCCCAGTCACAATTTGTGGCTGTCTGCTATTTTCCAGCAGATACTACCTTTTTTTTTTATCCTGTTAACCCTTAAGAAGGAAGCAGCAAGTTCTCTGAATTGTTGGTGGTTTTTACCAATTTGACATGGTGTGATACCCAGAAGACACTACAATGATCACTGATGTATGTGTGGCAACTCTTTACATCTTGTGAGGAATGCACATGATTGTATTACTCCATGTAGTTCTCCAACATTATTTTTCAGTTTAACTGATTTGAAGCCAATAGCCAGATCTTTTCTCCCGGAACTGAAATTGAATATGAGTAAGCTAAGATAGAAATAACACTGTGATAACATACTGGTATAGGGATAATTTACTTCTCCTGTATTGTATTTTTATATACCACTGAGCAAAAGTTTAACTTATGTCATAGTACAGCATCTTCTTAACACTTTATAATTATTGAGCTCATAAAGAAATGCTGTGCTTACCTAGAACCTGGAAGTGCATCACCATAGTGTTCACAAAAGCCAGACATTGAACCCTCCGCTGAGCTAGCTCAGACCATTTCATATCTAACTCAATTGTACAAAGTCTTCCTTGAAAAAGTTAATTATTCTGCTCCTATGGAACTCAGAGTTTATGACCATGTTCACAAAAGCTTGCCATTGGATCCTATCCGGGGTCTTAACTACACACACTACTTCTCAAAGGTCTGGCTTAATATTATCCTCCCATGTGTGCCTAGGTCTTCCACATGATCATTCCCTTGAGGTTTCTGGTCAGAATATCTCTGTTACCTTCAAGCTTTACAACCTATTTCTCCAAGATCCATTTTAATGTCATGCAGTTATTTATGTTCAGGTCTTTCAAGTGGTCTTTTCTCTTCTCTTGAAATGATGTCCAACTGAAATTTTGTATGTATTTCTCATTCCTCCAAGTGTGCTATACGTTGTTGTCCCTGTATTATATACCACTGTCCATCATTTTACCAGTCTCCCCTCTTCACAACAGTTGACTGATCAATGGTATGTGCTGGGCATTGACCTGATATTTTAAAATGCTGTTCCCAGAATAATTGTGTACCAGTATGTTATGACAGCTTATTTGTGTCTCAAAAGGTAAGTAATACAGTAGACTGTATATTTATTGTGCATAAGCTTTCCCTGTGTGTCGTATATTAAATATATTGATGGAATAGGGTATGTATTCTTCCTATAGTGCCAAAAATATTTAAAACTAAGTGCTTCTTTTTATAAAACTAATTACTGTAAGTCTAAAAAATAAGTAATTATTTTATTACTACCTCTTCTCATTGTTTCTGTCATAATTCTCAAATTGATTCACTGTGTTTAGATAAAATTTATAACACTTGTACATATATCTGTGAATGTGATACGAGCCACAATTTTAGCATCGAAGGAAAGTAGTTTATTTTAGGAATAGTACTGATTTTGAATAAATTATTTTGTGATAGGTTAATTAGGAATTCAAATAGCTGGTCACAATGGTAAATATTGCAAAATGAAGCACTTCTAGTTCTGTTTTTCAAAGAATCTTTGATCATAAATATTTTCAAATTATAGAATGTTCACTTCTTTCCTTAATGTGCATGGTAATTGGACCAAACAAATTTCAGTTGATTTTATTTTCACAAATGATTAAGATAAGAGATTAAGTAAGAATATTATAAAGTAAATTCTTATACCTGAGAATGTTGGACAAATCTTGAACATGGTTTTTATGGCACGGCCTTTTTACTATAATATGAGTAAAATAATCTTAAAACTTTGCATACCGTGTAGTGTATTAGAACATAAAATAAGCAAACAAACAAACTATTAACACTAGTGTCTTTTATAGAATTAATAGTTTGTTTGTTTGCTTATTTTATGAGTAAAATACTTTTCTTTAGAGGCCCAGAAACTGCTTGTGACTTCTGATACAGTTCCATCATTTTATAGAGTCTGACTAATGAACCATGTTGATGTTTTCATTATTAGTGAACTTACTAGAGTTGCCCATCAAATATTGTGGCTGAGTGGTTATGTTTCATAAACTAGGTACTTATTCTTGAGGAGTTAATAGTTGTTCAGCTATTCAAGAAATTCTCCACCTTGAATAAAATCCAAGGGGTCTTTGCATGTTCACATGAGCCCACCAAAGGACCCTGTACTGAGCCAGAAGAATGTAGCATTTACCCTTTTACTCTATTTCTTTAATATCCGTTTTAATATTATTTTCCTGTCTATTCCTAGGTGACCCAAATGATCTTTTCAGTTATCTCTCTTGCTTCATGTCTGTGAGAACCATCTATCTGAATGGGTTTTCCATGTTATTTTCTAGTCTGTATATGTGCCAAGACAGTACCTTAAAATAGGCCAGGTCTGTCTCCTTCCAAATCCTTACCTATTCATCGTTCATGAATATATTTCCATTTCATTCAATACTACATTGCCTATCTAGATTAATCTGGTAAATTTAGTACATGAACAACTGTCTGATCTTTCTAAATGTAACTGAATATCATATATAACTCAAATTGCCATCAGATGCTTTTCCCCACATGTATAAAATCATAACAATCATATGTTTATGGGCAGTAAACCAAATCAGTAAGAAATAAAACTCCACATTCCTGAGACTGACAGAGCGAGTGACAAGATTGGCTGACGGGTATTTGTGTTCCCCTGCAACATAAGTAGCCCCTCCTTCATGTTCTATGATTGTTTTCTAGGTAGGACAGAACAACAAGACATCTGGTTTGGGGATAACTGAGTCGAGGGTCCATCACAACTAGAAAATTTCAGATTTCATATAAATCATGTTTTTGTAAATAAAAGGGGCTAGTTAGCCAGCTTAGCTTTACCTGTAGAATGAACTTTGATTTTGGGGGATTTTGCCTAATGAGAAATTTGCAAGTATGCAGTTGATGGTGTCAAGTCCAGATGTGACTGTTTTAAAAATTTAGTATTTGGATAATAATGCTACGGTGGTCTAGCGGTTAGAACGCTGGCCTTGTAATTCTGGGGTCTCGGGTTCGATTCCTGGCGGTGCCCGAATTTATAACTTGTGTTGGGCAAGGCAACACGGAGTTTTCCTCCGTGGCAGAGAAAAGGATGGAAGGATCCTGTTCATATGGACCTGTCGTCAGACAGAACACTAAATAAATAAACTACCAAGAGACAAGTGGTATATGGATGCAAGGTCCAGAGAACTAAATGTCATGTGTATTTACCAGCCCGTTTGACTTATTATTTAGGGAATGTGATTAACCATAATATTTCACCAAGCGCATTACCATAAGATAATTACTGTGGTTCAGTCCAGTGCTGCATGTATGACAGTCTAACTGAACCTTGTTCTTGGACATCAAAGAATGTCCTCTTTAAACGCACACACACATACACGACTGATCGGCTACGACATTGTTACTTTCTCTAAACAGTTGGTACTTGTAAATTTTCACAACAAATCTTGCAGAATAAGAATGACATCTTTTATTCAACATAATTAGCTTGTTTCTAGAAGGTTCTATTAACCCAGACCTGCAGTGGCTAGAAGAGGACGGCTCTTGCGTTGCCTGTGAGCAGTTTAAAATATCTGGCTTTTTTATTGTAATTTGATTTCCAATGTTTGAGAGGGGCTACATTTTTTCTAAATGGTATTATTTTACACTGTAAAGAACATAATTATGTATTTGTTTTAACAAAATGCATAAAATTAACTCATAATGGGGAGGATGTATCCATCTACTTGCAAGTTTTAATCTTCAAAACTATTCATTGAAATTTGGTAAGTTGTTAGGCAAATTCACTTTGGTCAATATTTGTCCAATCTAACCCACTGCATCTGTATCTGTAGTACGATTAGTTTTACAACAGTAGATTTGCATCAGTACTAAACATCAAGACTGATGAGGTACGCAAAACTGTGTAGAAATTACATTTCCTGTTGTTGTGTAGGCAAATGTTTGCAGCAGTAATGGTGTGTTGCATGTGTTATCTGTGTTGTTGCAGGGGCTGAGCAGACCTGCATGCCTACTGTAAGAGATCTGGTTCTTCTCATTGGAAAATGTAGTCGACCCCTGAGCAAGCCTGCCATTGTCGCTTCTTCTTTGCCTGCTGTAGTGTGATGATATTCTTACCATTTGATGGACAGTGTTCTTAACACCCAGTCATATATTAATTATTAATATCACATCCAAACTTGTGCTTAGACAATGCTATAGTCATGCAGGATATAATTAATATCACATCCAAACTTGTGCTTATACAATGCTATAGTCATGCAGGATTTGAAACAAGTTTTATAATAATAAGTTTGTGTTCTTCAAGAGTAAAGGTCTGATCTGATTTTATGTGGTAATTGCATTCTTGGGAAGAAATATGTAATGCAAAAATACTTTAAGAGTTTTCATAAACTCATAAACTGAGTTTTTTTATCAGTGGTAAGCTTGGCGATTAATATTTTCTGGTAATAATACAGATAAGATAACATAAATATGACATTAATGAGTTAACAGTGGAATGTATTAATTATTTTCTGTATTTGTACTTACAAAGGCCATAATAATAGGCTTAAGTTATAGAGGTTGGGGGGTTTATGAGTTTAATTTGAAAAGATGAAGGCACCGTCAACAAATTATTTCTGACTCTTATTCATTGACTGTGCATTGTAAGTTTGAGGGAGTTGAAGTTTGATTTTGTAATTTAGTGGTTTCCTCAGAAGGAACCTCATATATCATATTCTTCTTCCTGAGATATTTCCATTTTACGTGGATCATAAAAACCGCTTGTGTGGCACGTAAATACGGGACGTTACTGAAGATGCACAAATTGAAGTATGTGCATGGTCTTAAGAGCAAATATATGCCACATTAGTAAGACTGAGAAGAGAATAAAATTGAATGTTTCATTAGACAACAAGTTAAATCCTTTTTGACCATAAAATAAAGTAATGACAAAATTATGCTTATCACTAACAATTTTATGTGGCACCATACAAATAATTGGAACATAACTTGGTCAAATCCTGAACTTTAGCAGGATACACTAAATTACAAAATGTTAATACTTTGAAAGGTTAAAATATTCTGTGTTGTAAATCTGGTATCATGCCAGGTAGGTTTAATACTGAAAATATGATACTTCAAAGAAAACATACACTAGAACATGTTTACAACTGAAATCAAGGGAACTTTAACACTTTTCCATTTCAGACAAGGTTTCTGCTTAGCACAGGTACTTATTCCTACAAAAAATATTGCGTAATACATCGTGGTTTCACACGATAGAAGTCACAGTTCAGATATTACTACAATGTTAGTGAGAAATTCACATTTTCAGTTTCTTATTCTCTTCTTTTTGACTAATGTCCTATTTTTACGAGTTTGATGAGTTCTGCACATATTTTTTCAACGTTTGGGTCTCATTTATAACAATAAATTCCAGGATTACAATTACAACACATTTATAATCTCAAAAACCAATGCCTATTAAGGCAAATATTCCCCTTTCCCCACCATTCAACTTCCACTTTAACCCTTTGAAGCCTGTAAGTCATCTAAATTATATTTAAACATTCAGTTCTTTCCTTAAAAAGAAAACATATTTCAAGTTGCCTGTCTTCTGGAATGCTGCAATGTGTTGTCTGATAGAAATTGACTGACATTTCAGAGGTGCTTACTGCCTCCATCATCATGGAAATTTCTACCAGGTTGTGTGTTGCAACATTCCAGAAGGTCTCATCTTCATAACTTGCTGCTATGGGAATCATTAAATATGTATCCATTATGAAGGTAACTGGTTAATCCAGTTCAGGGAAACAACTGTGTTTATCCTGAGATTCATATGAAATCCATGCATACTCTGTAGAAGATATTGAATTACTGAATGCTAAAGGAAATGGTTCATATATTTACCACTGTGCTTTAAAGTGTTAAACAATTTACACTTATCAGACTACTTTGATCAGTTTTATCTGT